GTTGTTGTTGTTGTTGTTGTTGTTGTTGTTGTTGTTGTTGTTGTTGTTGTTGTTGGCGGCAGCTGCAGGTCTGTCCCACTTTAATAATGTTTGTTTTAAAAAGCAGCTTCAGTTTTTCTGCTTGGTTTGGGATTCAGTTAGGACTGGCCTCAGCAGAAACCTCTAACTTTGATTTATGTTTTATTTATTTTAAGCTCTCTCCTTCACACCCGTTCTACGACGACGGCTGGGCTCCTCCAAACTCCAGCATCCCGGCTGCTCTCGACCTGGCCACCATCATCCCCAACCGGATATTTGTCGGGGGGATCGATGACGGGGTGAGGTTTGGACTTTTACTTTCTAACCCTCAGTTATAATTGAAGACAGTAGGCGTTCCTCAGGGAACCTCCTTATTTACCTGTTGAATAGTTCAGAGTTTTAACTGAACCAGCACAACTTCAGTTTGGGTCAAACTAGTATCGACAGAGGTTTTTAATGGATCTGGCTGACCAGCTGCAGTCCGGTCCGTCCACCAGTGGCGCCGCGCCGTGTTTTGGGTCGAGCCACCAGGAGCGTCCGACTCTTCGGCCACGTGGTTCTGCTCGTCGTACCAACTACTTTACTCTTGCGCGTTTTTGCTTTTCACATCCGATTTAAAACGATTTTGTCAAACAAGATGAGAGACTCGCGTCCAGCTGTGACGGACGCAGGTATGGCCACGCCCCCTTTTAGTGACTTTTACAGCGAATATCAAAAGTATAGAGATGGAGGTGACGATCAAAGTGAAAATATAACTGATGTGATGAATAGGCCTGTCGCGATAAATTTTACTGGGCGATTAATTGTCTCAGAAATTATCGCGATAAACGATAATATTGTTTGAAATTTGACTATAATTAGTAATTGTTGGTAAATTTTTGTGTGTAGTACCTTTTTTTGACCACTGGGTGGCAGTATAAGACAGTTGGAACTGAAGGATGGATAGTGAGGGAGCGAGCAGCATCTCTTTAAGAAAAATGAGAGGGAGGCCCCTTGACGTGACATGGGCTGTCTCTCTTCGGTTCTCAAAATGGCAGACGCTCGGTGTGGTTTGAGCTGTTCAGCTTAGCAGAACTTCGACAAGACGGAGCTTTATTCCCTGAGGTCGGCCTGTTAGCTTAGCTCATAGCTTAGCTTCTCAGCTTAGCTGCTTTAATGATCCAAAAACACAATTTTGGACGAATAAAACAGATTTTAAAGAGAAAGGGAGGGGTCAGTGAAGAACCGGAGCTGATCCTTTTGTCATCCAGTGTCTTCAGTAGAAAGAGAGAGACACGAAGAAATGATAAAGATGATAAATTAACATTTTTATTTATTGCGACAGGCCTAATGATGGATATAGGATAAAAACACATTTATAATGGGATTTCAATATGGTTGATTGTCCCCCAGAGCGTCATAACGTTACAGAGCGTCTAAAACAATTCTAACAAAATGTAAAAAAATAGAAGGATTTGTCCAGAACACGTGTTTACTGCCAGCACCAAACACAAATAAAATAAAAATCAACGTTTGTTTTCCTCTTGAGACTCTGAGGGTTCGGAGTGAAGGATGGACAGAACCCGAGAATGAAAGAAAGAAACTGGTTGTCTGTTTTTGAAGGTCCGGGAGAGAGACCTGTGGCTGTATTTCTCACGATACGGTGCGGTGAAGGAGGTGAAGGTCGTCCTGAACCGTGAAGGAGTATCAATAGGGTTCGTTTTTATTTTAGACGGCCTCACAGATTTACCACCGTGCCACCGTCACGTTGACCACGTTCTGTTGTCTAAACAGGTACGGGTTTGTCACGTTCGAAACTCAGGAAGAGGTCTTGAAAATCCTCAGCAACGTGAGTCGAAGGTGCCGAACGTTTGAATCGCTCTTCGTGTGGCCCGACGTGACGACTCCTTTTCTTCTCTTCAGGCTGACGGCTTCCGTTTCAAAGAGAAGCAGCTGGTCATCGGCCAGGCCTTTAGAAAGCAGCAGCCGCCGCCGGTACAACGTAAGTGAGCGACATCAGCTTAAGGTTCGGCTCACAGTCAGACAAACACAGGAAACGCAGTGAGAGCTGAAGAAGCTGAAATTCGGCTGTTGAAGCTAAAAGATCTTAAGGCTAAAAGTAACAAAATGCTAGCTGGATGCTAAAAGCAATAGAACACTAGCTAACATTAACTAAATGACAAAAGTAGCAAAACATTAGCTAAAAGAAGTAGAATGTCAAGTAAAAGGAGCAAACAGATAGCTAAAAGTAACAAACGGATAGCTTAAAATAGCAAACGGATAGAGAACAGTAACAAACGGATAGCTAACAGTAACAAACGGATAGCTAACAGTAGCAAACGGATAGCTTAAAGTAGCAAAC